ATCAATGTTTTTATTAGCACCCTCACTGACTCAGACTCAGGTTAGGGTTTGAGAAGTGCTGGTCTAGAAACCTGGGAACATGAACAGCTCACCCACACTTGGCTCAGGAGAGCCCCCCATGTCACAGCAAATCTAGTCCTAAAAATCCTGTTTCTGTTGATTGCACATCAAATCCTATTTTCTCACTGCTTCACCTGATAATTTCTTAGAATGCCCTGTCTGGGATGCTTTTCATTGTTAATTGAAATTTATTACAAATTTTAATTAACAGTGAAACTTAACAACTTAGCTTCAAGTTTCTCGCTGCTCATGTTCTTCCTAAAGCAATTTTGGATCCCAGAGATAAGCATTTGATTGATTTAATCTTTATATGCTGTCTCAATAAAATATGTTTGTTGAACCCCCTTAAATAGTACTTCTCAAATTTTAGCATGAATCAACATCACCCGGGAGCAGGGGGTGGAGGATGCTTTTAAAATGCAGATTTATAGGTTCTGTCACTGGAGAGAAGGTTCTGTGTTGGGCCAAAATACTTGCATGTGAACAGTGACTGGCCAGGTTTGGAGATACCCAGCTTCCCAGCCTTGTTCTAAATCCTTCCTGGAAAGGGGACAGCTGTTTACATATACAGCATGCCTGGATTTTGATTTTTGGAAAGTTTTAAATACACGTTCAAGTGTCCAACACAAATGAAAGTATCTCAGAACTATTTTCAGAGATCAAAGATTCCAGTCCTTTTACTATTTAAGTGGGGAAACTGAGGCTCAGAGAGGTAACACAATGTGTCCAAGGCCACAGCTCGCTAATGATAGAGCCAAGACTCAAACCAAGCTGGGACTCTCTTTCAACCATTGTCCCCTCCTCCAGGAAGTTACGCTGTATAAAGGAGCCTCCCCATCTTGCTGGCCCTGTGTATATATGCTCACACTTTGCTAAGCAACAGATGGATGTCGCCGGGACTGGTGGGTGGAGGGGTGGGACCCAGCAGCCGAGCTATGTGCTCTGGGTTGTCCAAGTCAAGGCTCATGGGGGAATTAACAAGTCAGGAGCTTATGGGCCCTCACCTCTACCTTCCAGAGGGATGAAACCTTCTAGAGATGCTGTATAGAGTAAAGGAAGGAAATGGCTAGTTTTTAAAGCTGATGATAGGTCCATGAGGAGTTCACTTTATTATTTATTATTCCTTAAACAAAATACTCTCATTATATTTACTCTTGCAACATTATTTTATAATACATTTTACATTTCTTTTTTTATCCTCACCCGAGGATATTTTTTGCATTTATCTTCACATAGAGCAAGAGGGAGAGGAGGAGGAAGAGAGAGAGAGAGAGAAACATCGATGTGAGAGAGACACATCGAGTGGTTGCCACCCACATGACCCCAACTGGGGCCGGGGACAAACCGCAACCGAGGTACATGCCCTTAGCTGGAACCGAACCTGGGACTCTCTGGTCTGCGGGCCAACACTCTAACCGCTGAGCCAAACCGGCCAGGACACATTTTACATTTTAAAATAATATTTCATAATAAAAAATTTAAAGAGGGAAGAAAAAGACCTCTAAGTGTGGCGAAGTAGACACTTGAGAGACAGTGGGAGATGAGCAGAGCCGATGGGCACAGTCTATCTGATCCTGTGCCGTTCTGCAGTGGCCGTTCCCAGATCTGGTTCTCATTGTCATACAAGGAGTCTTTTTTTTTTTTTTTTTTATCCTCACCCGAGGACATTTTTCCATTTTTTTGTACAGATAGAGTGGGAGGGAGAGAGAGGAAGAGAGAGAGAGAAACATCGATGTGAAAGGGACACATCGAGTGGCTGCCACCGCACGACCAACCAGGGCCGGGGACAAACCGCAACCGAAGTACGTGCCCTTAGCGGGAACCAAACCCGGGTCTCTCCGGACCGCAGGCCGATGCTCTAACCGCTGAGCCAAACCGGCCAGGGCCATACAAGGAGTCTTATCTCATGCTCTACACCCAGGAAAATTCAAAATAGTAGAAATGCAACCCAAACAGAAAGAAACAGGAGGAAATTATTTTATAACCTCAGAGTGAGGAGGACTTTTGAATTGCAACTCACAATCCAGAGACCATAAAAAATGACTGGGAAATGTGACTACAAAAATAGAAATCTGCACGGAAACATATATCATCCACAAGCTCAAAAGACAAACAAAACAACTGGGAAAAACATTTGTAAGCACACCACATATAAAGAGCTCATTTCTCTACTATAGATATTAAGAAGAAAAAAACAACAAAAACAACCAACAAACCAGTAGAAAACAATTAAGTTGATGAAAAGATCACAGTGGAAACAAACAAAACCCATACCCATGGCTAAGAAGAAAAGGCATAAAAAATGTGTCTTTTCTGATATCCACTAAAATTGAACATTGATGGCTTAGCAATTCTGGTCTTAGGTATATGCCAAGGGAAATCACTCACTGTCCAACAAAAGACATGTAAGAGAAATGCCTTTCAAAGCCTCACTTGTAATAGCCTCATAGGGGACACTACACAAAGTTCATCAAGAGAAGAGATAGATGAATCTGTGGTGTATCCCCACAGTGAAATTTTATACGGCAATGAGAAAGCAAGAATTGGAATGATAAGCAACCATCTCATGAACAGAACGTTAAGCCCAAAGAAGACAGACAGACAAACAAACAAACAAACAAACAAAAACATATGGTATGCTTTTATTTATGTGTTAGAATAACAGGAAAAAAGAATCTACTTTAGAGAGAGAATGGTCCATGGAAAACAATGAGACAGGAAGAGGCTGTGGTTGCGGGGTGGGTCTGGGGATTGGCGATATCTTGTTAATTGACCTTGATGGTCAGTTTGTACAAAGTCATCAAATAGTATACTTCATGTTTACATATTTTCTACATGTTTTAGCTTTATAAAATGTTTTGAAAAACCATTGCAAGCCAGAATGAGCAGGACTTAATTGTTCGTGTTGTAATTTGATATAAAGGTTAAATTCTATTCTGTGGACTTATCAAAATATCAGGGACGCGCTAAATGCATTTTGAAAGGGTTTCACTAAAAATGGTTCTACTTTACCTGAAGGAATTGTTTGAGGAAAGTTTTGCTTACCCAGAAAATTAATTTACGTGGATCATGCCAGTCGCCAGGGATTCCTGGAGAGTGAAAGGTTCCTCCAGTGTACTCTCCTGGGGCTGCCCTCTTCCTCTGGCCGCTCTGCAGGCCCACTGCACAGGCCTTGCTGCGCCTTGGGGGACCTCCTCTAAACTACTAAGCTCAGGGCTCTGTGTAATTTCCCAGGCGCTTTGGCTGATAGCAGTTTTTCCTTTCAGTCTCTGGAATCTTTTGGGGATCTTGACAGGGGCTAAGACAGCATTTGTTTAGATGCTGAGTCCATTCCTCTTCCCAAACTCATTGTGAGTTAGTTCCTCGTAGTATTACCATCTTATAGATGAGGCTGGGAGCCATTAAAACACCGTCCAAGTTCGCATAACAAGTAACAGCTGGGAACCGAAGCATCCTCTCGCTCCACAGCCTGAACTCCTAACCGCTGTGCCGCCTTTTCTTTCTCGTGTCAGTTATTTTGCACATGCTGCACTCGACCAGAATATTAGCCGCACCCGCACAGAGACTGAGTTCTCATTGCTTTTCTCTCCACATTGCCTTTCTCCTTCACCAGTGTTATGCCGTTAGCTTTAGTTTTCATATAAAGCTACACCCAAAAACTCCTACTAAAAAAATCAGGTCAAAATCTATAGCACTGTTTTACTTTTATTTTTTAAATGAACTTGAAATCTCCTTAGATTTTTTTTTTTCTGTTAAAAAAAGAAACGAAAGGCCCCAAATGGAGTCACTTATGCTAAGCTCCACGTCAGGAAACCAAGACTTAACTTCCCAGGAATGTGATCTTTAACCAGTCACTCTGGAATTACCTGGTCCGCCCTAGTGAGGTCATCTGCCTGACTACCTGCCGTTCCCCAAAGGAAAGTGTTCTTGCCTGAAATGATCCACTCTGCTGGAACCTTCTTTTCCTGCCCCCTTCTGCCTGTAAAAGCCTCTATTTGTACAGCTCCTCAGAACTCCTTTCTAGTTGCTAGATGGGATGCTGCCCCGTTTATGAATCACTGAATAAAGCCAATTAGATCTTCAAATGAACAGTGGGGGCTCAGAATAAATCACCCCAAGATGTGCCACTCTGGTGTGCAGATTATTTTGAGCTGAATATAATTGAGGCCCAGAAGGCTCAGGAAGAAACTCTGTCCTCACCTCTTGCTTCCCTGCTCTGAAAAGGGAGCTATCGGCTATAATTGTAGGTAACTATAGTTTGCCATGACTAGTGTGGTAGACAGGCAGACCAAAGCCCATTTGATCAAGTCCTCCCTTTCCCCCACTGTTTCAAGATGGCCTAGCAAACATTCGTTTACTAAACATTCACTTCTTCATCCCCTGGTAAATTGCCTTTTGAAATCCTGGACCCCTACTCCCCACTCCTTCGTCCAGAATGACACCTGTAACCTCATTTTGCCGTACTGTTTTTGGAATTTTCATGCTTATGTGAACTTCCCGTGCACATGTACGCAACTTGATTTTCTCTTCTTAATCTGCCTTATGTCATTTTAATTATTCTACCAGCCAGAAAAACTAAAAGGAGCAGGAGAAAGTTTCCCCATCCCCAACATACTCAGTTGGACTTTGTTAACATTTCTACTTGAGTATAATAGCCCATGGAGTTGGACCAACTTCTTTATCAGTTTAAGGAACCCCACTGGCTCTCTCTGCGTTTCAAAGTGTCCTGGATTGGCTTTTCCTTAACAGGATTTGAAAGGAAACCTGTAGTGCTCATCAGATTAACAAAAGCAGCCCTTAACTGGGGTCCATCTTGACTGCACAGCTCTCCAGAAAATCCCATGGTGGGGGCAGATAAGGACCAAGTCATGCAGAGAGTCATTTTCTGTAAGGTTTATCAGCTAGCAGGCCTGTGGAGAAAAAGAAACCACCATCCTTACCCTGTTTTCAAGCTGACCAAGGCATCCTCTACTCCCTTCTGATTAAATTTGGTCATGTACTGATGCATGTAGGGGTAGTTATTCCGAATGTTTCTTTCTGTACTGCCGTTAGGCACCGTGCCAAATCGAAAAGGTGGGGAATAGTCGTGAGGTCTCTGAAACTGGAGAGAGAGAAAGAGAAAGAAGGAGAATGAGGAGGAAGAGAAGTCAGCCATCACCGTGCCTTGTGTCAGGAGTTAAACATATTTATACACGAACACAGCAGTGACACGTTCGACTTTGTGCTTCTAAATCACATCTTCCACTGGTCTGCAAGCTCTGGTGTCTGCCTTGTTCCATGCTGTTCCCCAGTACATACTGGCTGAGCATGTAATAGATACTTGTTGGATTGAATATTTTGGTGCCATTATAGACAGTAAGTAGCCTACTGGTAGGCACTGGGGAACTGGTAGAGCTCAGGAAATGCCGGTTCAGCAGGAATGAAGGTATTATTTTCATTTGGTTAATTTATCCACCTTATGATGAAATTTTCTGATCCTCACCAGTTGCTTTGAACTCCATTTATAATGACCTTCACCTCACTCAGAAAATGAAGGGGGGCAGAATTTGCTGCCCCAAAATATGTTTCTTTGGCATAAGGATTATTTGGGGCTGGTTATTTTTAAGAAAGCAGACACAGGAGAAGTTCTGGAAACCAAGTAGAAGTTACACTTTTGTGAGAGACATAAGGAAAAATCCATCTGTAAGGGTGTCTTTCTTCCTGTACCAGGAAGAGGAAGATGACTAAATCTCTAAAAACTCTTACCAATAGAGAAGGCAACTGATTTAAGTCTGCATAACAAGCATACCATTGTTGACTGTGCTTTTCCTGGTAACCTCCCATGATTGGTCTCCCCTTAACATCTTTTGTCTTTAGCTGGAGATGGTATTTAAGGTGGTAGCTTGGGCCAGTTAAGGGAGTTACTCTGTTTCCTTAGGTATCTCCCTGCATACAGAAGTTATACTTATTATTTAAATTGTTTGGTTTTTCTCCTGTTAATCTATCTTTTATTATGAGGGGAGGGTGGTTCTCAGCCAGGAACCTAGAAGAGTAGAGAAAAAAATTATTTTTCTTTCCCTACAATGACTATATGTTGCCATTGACTCATTCTCTACCGGCTCATTCATCCATACATGCAATGCTTATTGGAGGCCTAACATACTCCAGGCCTAACGGCAGGCTCATGAACATTTGTGAGCTGATGTCCCTACTACGCTTCAACTTCCTGGGGGTGTCCGTGTTGTGTATGGCCTTCCAGCCTTCATGAAAGCGCATGGTCCATGTTCTACTAGTCTTCCACGATTGCCTGATACTGTCCATTTATAAGTTCAGTGTTTGGGGCAACCCAACCAGTGTTTGGGACTGAGTCCCTAAAACACAATGAAAATCTAGAGTCAATACAGGCCAATGGTTATGAGTCTGAGCTCAGGTCCACAGTCTGTAAAACCAGCCTCTATCACGTATAAACTGTGGAAGTGACTTCGGTAAGTACTTCTCTTCACACTTGCTCAGTTATCTTCCACCTGTAGAGTGGGAAGCGTATCAGTACTTCTCCCGTGGGGTCAATGGGAAGATCTAAAATGATAACATTTGTCAAGAACAGGGTAAGAACTCAAAAATAAATTTCATTTTTACTGTCATAATGGGAAAAGAAAAAAAAAATGAAGCTGGGCCTCAGTTTTCTATGAACTATATAATTCTGAAACTGGATAGTGATAATAAGACCATAGGCTAAGGTCTGAACTTCATTGTTTCTCACGGATCCTGCTAGAAACCCATCCTCTCTCAGAGGTGAAGGCCTTGGATGCAGAGAGGGAGGGGACACCCAGCAGTTCCATCCAGAACCAGGACTAGAATCCAGAGGTCGCGCAGACGTCCCAGCCAGCCTGCCCTCCACGGAACCGAGAACGGCTAGAGCCAAGAGTTCATCCAACCAGAAACATTATTCTTTTTTTCAGACTTCATTTCACCGTTAATTAAAATTTCCAGTTGAAAACCATTTACCCTAAATTAAGCATGCTGCTGCCTAATAAGTTGCCACAACAGGATTTGAGGGATGTGGCCGTACATTGTCCAAAGGAGACCTGCTGGGTACCTTGGTAGGAAGTGTGTGTGTGTGTGTGTGTGTGTGTGTGTGTGTGTGTGTGTGTGAACAGCAAAATGCTCTTTGCACTCACTCCAGCAAGGAACAACTCAACTTATCACCAAAAGAGGAGGAGGCCCGAGCCCTGCCTGGTCTGCCTGGCAGCTGCCTGCTCTGGGCGGGAGAGGCAACAGTGTGGTTCATAAATCTAGGTGTCATAGCAGCCGCTCCCAATCTCCAGAGACATCCAGAGATAGCCAATTTGACTAACTGCCTTCCACTTCACTCGCCATCTGTTGCAGAGGAGCTGAGTAGCTCATTTAGATTCCCTTTCCCCCCTGCCTCTTGTTTACACAGCAACAGACAATCAGCTTCTGTGATGAACTTTCTGACTCCTCTGGCCTTGGTTGTACCATCACGCACACAAAATTCAGCCCAGCAGCAAGATTTAGGAGCCCTTCCCACTACTCAAGGCCGTCAAACTGTTTACAGCATGCCTTACAACACATTTCCACTGCCACCTTGTACACACACACACACACACACGCAACTTCACAGTACTCACTCTTTCTACATGTGATGTACTTGATGGCATCCCCTATGTTCTGTTTTTTGTATGGTCACAATCCATAAGTTAATTTCATGGCTCTCTAAAGAGTCCTGGTCTACAGTGTGAAAAACAGGGGCAAACATGACTCATTTCTTGAGCCCCAGGCCCACATCCAGAACAGACTCTGTGTTTCTTATGGGAACTATTTCAGGTGCGACTTTCTCCTGGGGAGTTCTGTGTGCAAGCAGAAAGCAACAAATGGCGAAGGAAGGGCAGTGGTGCAGAGCAATGTAATCGCCATGCCCAGAGCAAGTGAACGCCTTGTGGCTTCTTTCTTTCTTTCTTTTTATTATTATTATTATTTTATTTTTGTTACAGATGTTTCTCCTTTTTTACCCCATTGGCACCCTCCTCCCCATCACCCCGCCCCGTCCCCGGCTTTGTTGTCCATGTCCATTGGTCATACATACATGCATGTAAATTCTGTACTTTATCTCTTCCCATCCTCACCACCCTCTCTTCTGAGGGTTGTTAGTCTGTACCCTACTTCCATATATCTGGGTCTACCCTATTCCTCAGACTGTTATATTCATTATATTCCATATATAAGTGAGATCATGTGGTATTTCTCTTTTTCTGCTTGGCTTGTTTCACTTAGGATAATATTTTCCAGGTCCCTCCATGTCATCTCAAAGGATAAGAGATCTTTCTTTCTTACAGCTGCATAGTACTCCATTGTATATATGTACCACAGGTTTTTTATCCATCCGTCTACTGATGGATACTTGGACTGTTTCCAGATCTTTGCTATTGTAAATAGTGCTGCTATGAACATGGGGGTACATATATTCTTTCTGATTGGTGTTTCAGGCTGCTTAGGGTATATTCCTAGAAGCGGGATCACTGGGTCAAATGGAAGTTCAATTTTTAATTTTTTGAGGTAACACCATAGTGTTTTCCATAGTGGCTGCACCAGTCTGCATTCCCACCAGCAGTGTACTAGAGTCCCCTTTTCTTCACACCCTTGCCAACACTTGTTGTTTGATGATTTGTTGATGGTGGCCATTCTGACAGGTGTGAGGTAATACCTCATTGTTGTTTTAATTTGCATCTCTGATGATTAATGATGTTGAGAATTTTTTCATATATCTCTTGACCATTTTTATGTCCTGTTTGGAGAGGTGTCTATTCAGCTCATCTGTCCATTTTTTAATTGGGTTCTTTGTTTCCCTTTTGTTGAGCTGTATGAGCACTCTATATATTTTGGAAATTAACCCCTTATCTGATGTATCATTGGCAATGATGTTCTCCCATACAGTGGGTTGCCTTTCCATTTTGTTTCTTTTGCTGTGCAGAAGCTTTTTAGTTTGATGTAGTCCCATGTGTTCATATTTTCCTTTGTTTCTGTTGCCTTAGGTGATATATCAGTGAAAATTCTGCTGCGTATGACGTCTGAAATTTTGATGCCTACATTTTCTTCTAGAATTTTTATGGATTCACTGGTCACATTTAGGTCTTTTATCCATTTTGAGTTTATTTTTGTGTACGGTGTAAGTTGATGGTCTAGTTTCATTTTTTTGCATGTAGCTGTCCAATTTTCCCAACACCATTTATTAAAGAGGCTCTCTTTACTCCACTGTATGCTCTTGTCGTGGCTTCTTTCTCAAGGCCTCCCTCACTGTTCTTGTTCATTGGCTTCCCTTGAACTTGGGCTCAGATCATTCAGCTTCCCACATGCCACAGAAGAATATAGTCATTTTGAGCAGCTGCTTACGCTCTCTGAGCCTCCATTTTTCTGCCTGTAAATTGGGGATTGCTTTGGCAACGAATCACAGAGCGCTTGAAAGACTCCTGGCACCTGTATGCTTGATACATATTACCTGCTGTTGCCCAGAGTGACTTTAGCCACATAATGGAGCCAGTTTCCTTCCAATGTGTAGAACAGAGAGTAGAGGGTTATAATATTCCAATTTTTCCCCTTTGCAATATGTGGCCAGGACTGAAAGTCATCCCAGTGAATAAGACATGGAAAGCACTTTATGATGGAGGAAGCTGAGATGCAGGTCTTGGAAATAAATTATTTAGGAAAAGTGTGGCAACTGACCAGGACGTTTCTCTGTTCCTCTTATGAACCTGAACTACACATTTATTAGAAATGTCTGTCTTCTCTGGCTGTAAATGAGGAACACTGGCAGCTAGAGTCCCTATTTCCAGTACAGTCCTCTCCCACTGGTGAAGTTCCACATACTTCCTGGTGTGAGCATCCAACAGCCATGGCCCTTAAGAGAGAGGGAGGCTCAGAGGCCTCCATTCAGTCCATGAGTATGGTGAGCAGTACCACCAGCAGTGAAACCGCAGTACCCAGAGACAGCACGGCTCCATAAGAGCCAGGGGAAGGAAGTTCCTTGAATCCCCCCATTGCTGCCACAAAAGGCCAACTCAGTGCAATATCATTTAGACTCCAGAAGAGATGAATGGTTTGAATCAGCAGCAAGGATGATAATGAGGAAGAGACGGGAGATGAAGAGAAGGGCAGGGAGGAAGCATCTTTATAATGCTCATATCAATCTTACCCTTTATTGGGAAACTAAGCCTTGAGAATACTGACATACTGAAGGCCATTATATGGCAAGGTCAGGATTTCAACCCAGGTCCATTTGACCCCAAATACAACATTGTCTTTCTCACTACATTAATCTGCCTCCCAGAGATGGGTTTTCCCTGCCATAATGGTGCCTAACATTTTGCATTTCCAACTTTCTAGGGGAGCACCTACCAATGAATTTGCCCACTTATAATGGTAACCCAGGCTCCTCTGATCACACCACAAACTCCAAAGGTGCTTACTCACAGGAAACACTCATACCACAAATGGCTGAAAGTGTTGTAAATCTGAGTTGTTAGACATATGTATTCATGATTTTAAAAAGAGAGAAACAAAAGTCCACTGTGTATAGTATTAAAATAGATTCAATATAGATTTTTATTGTGCAAAATTTCTTGGTATATCTGCTATTAATCTTCTGGGCGCATTTAGCTTATTGACTCCAAAAATTTTGCTGTTTATCTAACTGTATCAAACATTTAATTAAAAGAGTTCTCTGCCGCTGATGCTCTGGGGTTGGAACTGAGCTGTATCTTATGAGGATGTTTGATCTGTTTCTAGGTGTTTCCACATCAGAGAAGGTCAATCAAATTATTAGTGGTTCTAATTAGTTTTCCTACAAGTGGTTATATTATTTAGAACCAAAACTATGCAGCGAGGGACTTTTGCCCCTAGCTTTTGAAAACAGCAACAGAAAGCAGAGTAGGCAGCCAAAGATTTTTTTGAAATATCCTCACACCCAGGACATGGCTCCTCAGTGCTTCCACTGCACCTCCAACTGCTTCTTCTAGAAACTGCACTTTTGCTCCCATAATGTGGTAGAATCACATCACGGGGCTTTGTGCCTGTTTTCGGTCTCCATTTATCCTCCTACAAGGATGATTCCCAGATTTACAGAGATGAGTATGGAGACATGGATAGGTTCCATGACCAGGAAAGCATCACAGAGCCTGACCATGACAGAGAGGAAACGGGAACCCACTTTTCTGTCTCTGAATGTGGGGCTTTCTTTATCTGCTGCCTCACAGATGCCATCAGCTTTTGGTGGGGATCAGCCAGAAGTCAACCCCAAGCCAAGAACTTGAGTAAATATGATGTATTAAGGAACGGTTCCAGGAGAAACCAAGGAGGGAGTGAGGGAAGAAGGTCAGGGAAAGGAAGAAGCCAACCAACGGTGTAATTCTAGGCAAAGTCTTAGCCTCAGCCTGATCTAGCAGGGAGCTCTGGGGAGTAAACTGTTCCTGAGTTTGCCCTGCCTAGAAGCAACAGAGCAGGTGGGCTTTTGTACTCTCACACTGGTGGTTGATTACAGGCCACTAAAAAGATTGGGAGAACTTAAATTCCCAGGCATTTACAGTTCCTGTGCCGAAGGGTATTTATCCTGTGAAGATCCCTTGTATGAGCCTTTATAAGCAAAGGCAGGGCTGGGCACACAGAGCTGGAAATGGGGTCTCAGGACACCCAGATGGGGTGTCAACAGTGTCCACACACCATGACTTCTTCATTCAATCAGTAAGTCCGAACTGAGCACCCACTAAGTGCCAGATTACTCTTTCTCCTGCTAGCCCCTTCCCCAAGTCGTTTTTTAAATTGAATTTATTGAGTTGACATTGGTTAATAAATTTATCTAGATTTCAGGTGTGCAATTCTATAATACATCATCTGCATATTGTATTGTGTGTTCACCACCCAGAGTCAAGTCTCCTTCCACCACCATTTATCCCCCTTTTATCTTCTCCTACCTCCCACTTTCCCTCTGGTAATCAGCACACTGTTGTCTGTGTCTATGAGTTTTTTGTTATGTTTTGTTTTATCTTGTTTTCTGTCAGTCTATTCTCTGTATCTATGAGTGTTTCTATTTTGTTTGTTAGTTTCTTTTGTTCATTAGATTCCACGTATAAGTGAACCCATATGGTACTTGTCTTTCTCTGTCTGGCTTATTTCACTTAGCATAACACCCTCCAGGTCTATCCACGCTGTCACAGAAGATAAGATTTCCTTCTATTTTATGGCCGAGTAGTATTTCATTGTGTGATGCACCACAGCTTCTTTTATCCACCCATCTATGGATGGGCATTGGAGCTCCCCAAGTTGGTTTTAATCTCATCAGTTTTCTCTCCTTTATAACACTCGTTCCTGCATGGAATATTCTTCTCTGTTTACATTTACTTGTTTATTGTTTATTTCTTCCTACTAGAACTTAAGTTCACGGGAGCACCACCACAGTGGCTAGGAAGACCAGTCCCAAGAGGTGATATCTTCCCTAAGACCTGAATGTCAAAGAGGAGTCAGCCAGGAGAATGGGAGGAACACTGGAGGCAGAGCCCAGAGAGGGTAAGGGCACCGCACTGGAAATCAACCTGGAGTTTTTAAGAAACAGAGAGGGGGCCTTAGTGAGGGAGGGGGAGGGGATATGTGGAACAAGCCAAAAAAATAAAGGGCTTTGTTGTCATGGTATATAGAGTTGCATTTATTTATTTATTTATTATTTTATCCTCACCTGAAGACATTTTTCGATATTTTGTTCAGATAGAGTGCGAGAGAGAGAGAGAGAGAGAGAGAGAGAGAGAGAAACATCGATGTGAAAGGGACACATCGAGTGGTTGCCACCCACACGACCCAACCAGGGCCAGGGACAAACTGCAACTGAGGTACGTGCCCTTAGCGGGAACCGAATCTGGGACTCCCCGGACCGCAGGCCGACGCTCTAACCGCTGAGCCAAACAGGCCGGGGCTATAGAGTGGCATTTATTCAAGCTACAGTGGAAGCTGTCAGAGAGAGGCCTGCCACTCTCAAAGGTGATGGCACTGTTGGGAGGGTGACTCACCCCGACCCCTCACCATCTCTCTGATGACAGGCCTCTCGGTACCTCTTTCAACCACAGCAGGTCATTGGATAAGCTGTTAGGACTTTTCCTGGACTGATTTTCTATTCAGCAGTTTACTGATGAATGGCAAAAGCATATATGTAGACTATGTCAACAAGACAGGATGGTGCGATTTTATAGAGACAAATGATCCACATACACGAGGCAGAAAATCTTTGCAGTTCTGCAATTCCCATACTGCTGAGCTTAGCAAGCCGGGGTTTGTTTCTGGAACCGAGAATTTCCGTAGCAGGATGCATCGCTTTACCTCCTTTCTCCATCTCCATGCATTTCTGAAAAGTCGCTCACACCCCACAGCCCTCCTTGCATTTCAGTGGAGAATGAGAGCAGGTGTTACTGTTCCCATCTTCCTGATGTAAGCACAGCCCCATGAGGTGTCTGAGTAAAAGGAACTGGTGGGAATTGAAAAACTCTGCTCCATTCATGGTCTTTGAAGACATGTCAGGTGAATTGGACGTGCTGATAATGAGGCTGATTGGCCACAGAATAAAAAGTAGCTGTCAGCTTTCTCTCTGGATAGGGCTTGGGAGAGATTTTGTTTTGTTTTGTTTTGTGCTTATTCTCCTCCTCCTCCTCCTCCTTCTTCTTCTTCAAGTCACAGATGGGGAATCCAAGGCACAGAATCTATAAGAGACTCCTCAAAGATCACAGAACCAGGAGGTACCTACATCCTAGAGCACCCCACTACACCCCAAGATTCTCCTTGTCCAGGCTAGCGGACCTTCCTCGACATCACGCTCTCCTTGAAAGGAGGAGCTCCAGCCAGAGCTAGAACATGCCATGAGTCACGGAGCCTCATCACCAGAAGATCATACAACTAGGAGGAAGCACCATGTGGGGAAACTGCTTCCAACTTAGATCTGGGGTCTTTCAGACCTAGGAGAGCTAAGCTTATCGTTCTGCATCAAACATTTTTAAAAATACGTCCATTTAAATTGAGAGACAAAAAATCCTCTGTCTTTATGCTTGAGTGGATGGGTTTGGTTGACAGAGCCCGAAACGCTCCCTTCTTTCTGAGGGAAGAACATTTACGCCCAACCCCTCAGGCAGAGAGGAAAGCAAGGTGACCTTACCTTTTTGTCACTGAGACCAGTCACTTGGTCCACAAACTCCTCCTGGATCATGAAAGCAGCCAGATTGGCCGTGTAGCTGGCCAGGAATATGACGGCGAAGAAGGCCCACACGGACACCATGATCTTGCTGGTGGTACCTTTAGGGTTCTGGACAGGCACGGAGTTGTTGAACACCAGGCCCCAAAGGAGCCAGATAGCTTTTCCGATCGTGAAAGAAGGCCCGTGGGGTGCTGCAAATGACGGAAAGGACATGCTCAGCATTTTCTCAAAACGTGGATGTTTAGTAACTACGCAGTGGACACTGGCTGCTAGAAGATGGGAGTCAGTCACAGTCGTGTCCCTGCATTGCCTCAGAACCACAGCCCGATATCTCCCCTTTCCTTCAAAAATTAGTATTCATCTCGCATTCCTCTCTAGCTGGATTTTTGCCACGTTTCTTAAAAGAAGAAGGAAAAAAACAAGAAAGGAAGAAAAATGATTATGTGAAATGTGGGTTTGAATGAGAAATAGTGTTATGACCTGTTTTAAATTTGGATTTGATTTCCACTGTGCGGGGGGGAGGGCACAATCTCCTCAATAAATGTAAATAATGCTTTACAGAAACGTGTGCGTGGGGGCTGCTTCAGTGTTCACTGGGTGTGCTATCGCGTCTGTGGGGCTGCTGTTTGGTATTGGAATCATTGTCCCCAGTACTTGCTACTATTCAAACTCAGATTGTAAAGTGTCCACAATACAGGAATTAAACCCAATGAAAACTCTCCCCAAATGGACGACATTGAGGAACAAAACAATAAAGCTTAATTCTGCACCCTTCCCAGATGGAAAACGTTTGGTTGCAGGGTCATGGAAAACAAACTGTAATATGACGCCCCTTTTCCTCCCTGAGTGTCCCCTTGCAACAACTGCATGTCCCCCTTAAGATTCTTAAATGTTTCTTGCAACAGACTTAACTCACGAGGCGGAACAACATGGCAAAATTTATTGGGGTGGGGAGTACGCAGGCCATAAAAAGCACACGATAGGGCTTTTCAGGTCTATTTTGCGCAAGGGGGAAAAGAAATCAATGTCTGCTCTCATTTCATTGTCAAAAAGGTCTTCCTGTACCAGAAGGTTAATTTTTATGTCATTTAAGTAAATGAAGATGTAACAAATGATCTACTCAGATTTCAGTTGGAGACACGAGCAGAGTGGGCAATAAATTAAGTGGCAGAAGTGGACGCAGATTGATGGAAGTTATGAAGATCTGGGCAGGGAGCCTAAGAGAAGCATGCTTTTCTCACAGAGGAGGCCGAACTCAGGCTACAGCAATACTTGTAATGTCCATACACAACACACAAAATAAAGGCACTTAATTGTATTCTTTTCCACCTTAAGCTGTCCTGTTTCTCTTTGCCCAGTTTTATGATCTTCTGGGCTTATTCCCAAGAGGCTGAGAACTCAAGAAAAAATAATGAGAGTCAATCCACTTAACTTCATGAACCACTTCATTTTGTTAAGAGTGTCTGTTGATCAGAAGTGACAGCTATTTGGGAATCAGAAATGGGCAGTTGCAAGGAATCTGTCCAAGACCTGTGGGGATTCCTGATTCCTGATTACTGTTACTAGGCCCTATCATTTCCCCCACGAAGTGTAGTGAAATGAAACTGGAACCCATTTTGCACAAAGAAACAAGTAGCTCCCATTTCCTGAGAGTTTCTGCATGCAGTTGAGCTGGAAATAGAAAGCCCCCTTGTAGTAGAAAGGCTAGAGAGTTTGCACACTAGCTTCTTTCCTTTACAACAGTCTTCTCATGTGTGCTTTAGCCAAAGGAGAAATCATTGCACATGACGGCCTCTGGATAATTACTTATTCTCCAAGATGTATCTCAAGTTTATACACTTATCTCCATCTCCATTACTCCATCCAAGTCCAAACCACTGTAATCCTTTTTCTTGGAGAACTGTAACACCTTCCTAACTGGTCCCCTCCTTCCATTGTTCCCACCCTTCCCATTGTCTTGATAGAGTAGGTCTAGTGACCTTCCACACTGGCCATGTTTCATACCCCTCTTTCTTTCCATTGTATATTGAAGAAAACCTGAAATGCTTACCATAGTCAACAGCCTATCTTTCTGAATTACTCTTGTATCACTGTCCACCTCTCTTACTCACATCTTCTCTGTTTCTTAAGGTCTATTCCATGCCAAGGCCTTTGTATTTGCTGCTTTCCCTGCATGGAATGCTTTTCCCTCAGCTTTTCTCATGACTGATTTCTTCTCTTCCTCCAGGTCTCAGCTCAAATGGCATCTCTTCCAAAAGTCCTTCCTTGCTTGACCATCTTCCTGAAGTGGCATCTCCATTTCATTATTTCTCTTTCGTTTTATTTTTTCCTTCTTCTTGAGCTTTATTACAATCTGTGATTCTTTTTTTTCTTTTTTTTGTGGTATGTGCCCCTGGTGGGAACCGAACCAGGGACTCTCTGGTCCACAGGCTGACGTTCAACACTGAGCCAAACTGACTATGGCTGTGATTCTTCATTCATGTGTTTACATGTCTCCACAACTAAATTCTCAACTCCCTGAGGGTCAGGAAGTTTCTATCCAATTTACCACATCATCTCTCTGGACCAGTACAGTGACTTGCATGTAGTACCCACTCAACAAATAGTTATAAAATAAATGCAGAAATTCATAAACAGCACAAACGCTGAGTCTGCAAATGTTAAGACCTATATTGATCACCCACAGAAAATTGTCTCAGGTTCCACTCTGCCGGAAAACTCCTTACTGGTTCATTGCATCACCATTACAGTGAAGAACGGGCTATTCTCCCATTTAAATATAACTCACATTTCATGACATTTTTACTATGTTTGTTGATTAGAGATAGTTTATGTGGTAATCACCCCTCTTCAATGGCGAAGAAGTGGATTACAATAAAACTAAGTTTCTAATAGATTCCCATGACCTGTTGGCTATTTCCAAACTTGGACCTTCCAAGCGAAAAGAATATGTGGTAAATTAAAGTGTCTTATTTTTGAATAACTGTACCTTGAAGATCTGTTGTCTTCTATAATCTCAAGTCATTTGTCGGGAAAGAGAGTTGGTCCTGGCACTTTTATGACATACCATCCACTTATTGTGCATTCAGAAAAATTCACTCAAAATGATGTAATGTGTTTATGTACATGACATGAATATTGGCTTGTGTGGGAGCCTCTTAATAAGTTATAGCCAATGAATGCCTCCCAATTCAATTTCCTATCTGCTGATGGCCACTTTATCAAATACAGTGCATTGAGGTCAGGCACTATCAAGAGGAAAATATAACTCTTTGGGGGAAAATACCACTTTATAATGATATTTATTGTCAAATGAATGCAATTATGATTCAGTACTTTGGAAAATATTCTTAAACTAGATTCTATAAAGCCATTTTCTTACATAGACTAAAGTTGAGACTCACTACAATTTTTAGATTTCTTTTGACACAGCTTTTTAAAATTAATTACCAGTAAAACTTTGTCAAATCTGCTTTCTCAGTGAATTGAATACCAGAAGTTTTCACCTAACGACTATGAATGCCACATTATAACAAGATGAAATGTTTCATTTTGTTTTATCTTTTTTTCAGTTGAAATGAATAACCCATATTTGTATGGAATTATAAGTAATATCAATGACCTAGAACCATTCGTACAATGGTTTAGCAAGGCAAATAGAGGACAATGTGTTCTAAGTTTGAAAGGCTAACTAAAAGTAAATTAAATAGCATCAACATTGAATCATGTTCATGAAGGTGTTCTCACCTTTCCCTTTGGCTAAGTTTCTGTTGTATCCAACAGGACTGAAGTATTCAAAGACAAACACAGCTATGGCAGACACGATGAGCAGCATCACAAACATCATCACCCAGACGGAGGCGCTGAATGGCTCTGCAGAGGGATGGAGACACGGTCAGTTTGTTCTTCCTCACAACCAGGGCCAGCAGGAAGCCCCGAGGTCCATTTGCAGGTTCACTGAGAAACTTTCTCTAATGTGAATCTGATCATTCAAAAGAAGCTAGTCATTGTTTATTCATACATTTGAACCATTCTTCAGTTTACAAAATATTTCAGGTACTTTATAAGACTGCACAGAACAGGATAAAAATAGAGAAGAGCATATGACATTTTACAAATCAGGTCAAGGATAATAAAAACAAAATAGAATGATAAACCCAGGGGAGAAAGCTGGAATGCAAATAAAGAGGCCACAGGGGCCTGTATAATCCCAGCATCACCCAGGGAACCAAAGCTGGGAAGAAACAAAGTTAGCCTCAGATAGTCAACCACTAGGCTCCTGCCAATCAACATGGGTTTTGTTGTTGCCTTTATTTTTATTTTTACATGCTGGAGGGATGGTGTGCAGGGAATTTCAGAAGTAAAGGGCGATAGAGCCTGTTAGAAGAGGACCATAATGCATGGGGCTGGTGGGAATACTGGTGGCCATGTCTGCCACCACTGCTAACATTCTCCATCTCCCCTTCTGCTCCAGACAGATGAGATCTCTACATTTCAGAATCTTGTTGATGTTGGTGATGGGCTTAAATGCAATTGGAAAGTCATTTGAAGACATTCCCATGATAATTCAGTAAAAAAGAATCACTTAAGGAGAAGAGGGAATGAGGTAGTAGATGGATAGATGATTATTTCCCCCCAAAATAGTTTCCATCAGTTCATTTTCCTGTGGAGGTCACAAGAAGGCAGGCCAAGTCACAAGGTTCTAACTCTTAGGACACACTAAAATGGTTAGAGATATTATGTAATATAAATGAACATTTCTATTCAATCTAGTTCAAGATAGGAATGGAGCCATTTTATCTATGTATGACATAGATTTGCTAGAAAATCAACAGGGATTAAAATTTTAAAAATGAATATGCAGGGTGGGGCAAAACTAGGTTTACAGTTGTTCATATGGAAAATAATAGAGTACTTAATAAATGATAATACAAGAATAAACTTTGTGTTTCACATACTCACAACTGTAAACCTTTTTTTGGCCACACTATATCTCCACCTGAACGCATTATTGAAAAGAAACTGCCTGTGGACACCAATGAACTTATAATCTTTTTCATCATAAGCAAATATCTTCTGAGGGTAAAATGTAAGAAATCCAATAATACCTCTTGGACAGTAGACATTTTATTATTTTTAAATTATTTTTTCTGCTGGAGCTAGTCATAATCACAAAGAACTAGGCTGATAGCAGACCACCTTCTTACGAAAGTCTGAGATTACCTAATACAGCTAGAGGTCACCACAAATTCCCATTTAATGAGCTTAATATATAACAAGAAACTATATGTCTGAAGCTTTAACTGTACTGGATAATTTTAAAACTGGAAGGAATGCTTTGCAATACAGGTTTAAATTTTTTTTAATTTATTTATTAATTTTTAGAGAGAGAGAGAGAGAGAGAGAGAGAGAGAGAGAGAAACATCAATCTGTTGTTCCCCCCACCCATGCATTCCCTGGTTGACCCCTGCATCTGTTCCGATCGGGGACTGAACTCGAAACCCCTCCGCAGCAGGATGACGCTCCAATCAACCGAGCTACCTGGTCAAGGCTATGTTTAACTTTATGAGGATTGCCAAATTTTCCTATAGCGGCTGTACTATTTGCAATGCAGTTTTGAGAGTGCAAATATGTTAAAAAGCAACAGGTAACAACACAAATCACTTCACTTACATAATACAAGAGGAGCTTAAAGAAATCGATGAGACAACTGAAATTTAGTTTGAGTAATAAACAATACTATGTTTTTGAAATCATAGCAATTTGGTAATGAGGTGTATCCAAAAAGGGGTAGAAATAAATGAATAATTAAGAGATTAAAAATTACTTAATATATCACCCTGGCCAGATTGGCTCAGAAGTTAGAGCATTGGTCTGCAGACCAAAGAGTCTCAGGTTCAATTCCCAGTCAAGGGCACATACCTTGGTTGTGGGTTCGAACCCCAGCCCCAGTGGGAGGCAACCAATCAATGTGTCTCTGTCTCTTTCCTCCCTCCCTTCTACTCTATCTAAAAATAATCAATGGAAAAATATTTTCAAGTGAGGATTTAAAAAATTACTTAATATTCAAGAATAGAGATGTTAAATTAATTATCCAAGTTGGATATACTAATGGCATAGTGAGTCTTACCAGAGAATGATCACTGTGATGACCAAATGAACATGTACATTGCAAACATTTGGTAGTATGTGCTGTACACTGCACACATAAGAAATAGAATTAAATAGCTGTTTGATTCTATCGTTAAAGGCAGACTTGGTGGTGGGGGTGCTGCTCAGGGTCCTGAAAAAAGGCATCCTGGTTTTTAAAACATGCATACTATTGCTCTGATAATTTCCTTTTCTCTGCAGTTTGTGACATTATAAAAATATCAAGGGAAATCCTTACTGAATTTTTCTATTTACATGTCAGAATTTGTAAACCTGCAGTGGGCTTCGTTTGGCAGTTGATTCAGCCTAGTCACTAACTGGTCAGATTAGGTGGAAGCTGATCGAGTAACTAATGCCAGATGACTTCTAACTTGTAAGGGACATTTGACCCTTGACTTGTGAGCATGGGTCAAATAAAAGGATCCTTCTGCAGTATTCTGATTTTAGTAAGTTTAAATTATGGTCCTGTTAATGCCCTGAAGGATTGCTACTGTCAGACACCACACACACACACATACCACCACCACCACCACCACAACAACAACAACAACAACAATAAAACACATTAGAACAATGCTGAAGCCCTATCTATAATGTCTAAGGAATGACCCAGAAATATGTTTAGATAACTCTGGATTACATCCTCTACTGGCTTAAAACGGATTCAACATTTGTCCATGAGGCTCTTCAATCTATGAGACTCCGGGTCAGCATTTCTTTGGGTCAAAGAATCCAACCTGCTTAGAAAGTCTTTAGAATTTAATGAATGGAAATATTGCAAGAGACATCATCTCTGTCCTTGAAGAGTTGCTGGTTACATTTTTACACAAAAGCTCGAAGGCATTACCTGCAAGGGTTTCTGATGTGAGTTAATGGGGTTTGCGGAGGAGAGAGAATAGGAAATAATGAAGAGCCATGCAATCAGATTTTGAATGTTTTGGCTCTTCCAGACGACTGAGCCAGTCAATGGAAAAATGTAGCTTAGCACGGTTCATTATGACTTTGAAAACCTGCAGATAATGAGCATAAATAAAGGGGTGCATAGTCAATCGAATAGGAATATGATTTAGTGACTAGGAAAAATATTAAGCCTACTGTGTAAAAACAGCTTTGAAAACAGTTTCCTCTAGCTACAATTTGTTTTATTTTATTTTTAAAATACAGTTGGAAGAGTAGGGGAAAAAGGAAGTTTGGCTAAATTTAGCAAAAATACTTGACTTTTTATGGAAATGTTCTACTAATGCAGGTAAGATACAAATCTAGGGAATCTGGGTTGAGGCCAGATTCAATATCGGCGACCCATTTTTAAGAAACAGGCCAAATGATACTTTTTCTCTCTGATTGAACTGGGCAGAAAGTTCTCTCTACCTCAGTAAGGAGATATGTGGACAATTTGTAAAAAGAAAGATCTTTTTCATGAGTTCACTTCCTTTATGAACTTTCAGGGCCAAAGGTCCCTGTTAAAGGGTCTGATATAAAAGGGGGGGGGGCAACTAAGAGTGACTAATGAGTGAGAGTCTACCCAATAATTATTAAGATTCTGCATGTCACATTTATGCATCTGTGGGTTGCATATTTCATGCTATAATGAGGCTCCCTTTTTAAGACACAGGCATTTTTATCCATATCAGACAGAGGCACGAACGGAACATAATGAGGTGTGTATTTGTTAAGATCTACATTATGCCAACAAAGGTTATGACATTTGAAGCAACGGATGCAAAATTGTAATCCAGCGAGTGGGAAAGATTTCAACAGCTTAAGTGGATTATCAAAAACGAAAATAATAAATCCATGTTTCTGTGGATAAGACAGTATCCAAAATCCTGTTCGGAAACATTTTATTCAAGAAAATAAAGTATTAAAAGTTTCACTGGATGTTGAATAATGACATTACAAGTAAATGAAGACAGTGTAGAAATAAATTGGAGTTGGTGTCCATAAATTGGCTCTAGTCTGCAGTTTTAATAGGCAAAGGTATTTTGTTGTCTATTTTTTTTTTTTTTTTGTCTTCTGAAAAATGTAATAAAATTAGTTGACCTTAATCTAACTGTTTTCCCCCTCATAGAGTTTTCTTGTAGGCATCAATGTTCATCTTAACCTTCCCAAATTTGGGACACCACCACTAATAGGGGAATGTCAAGGGAAAGTTAATCTGAATTCCATGTCTTCAAGGTAGCCACTATCAAAGAATATTTATGCTAACCAAACACTCAACTCAACATTTTTCTTTAAATAAAAAAATAAATAATGCATGGCTCTGTTCCATGCAGTTTCAAATTCTCTAGCCAGGCTAACCAACGCATACATACTTATAGTGCTTAAAAAAAGAAAAAAAAAAGAAAGAAAGAAACAAAAAAATCCCTGGCCAGTTTGGCTCAGTGGTAAAGCATCGGCCCGCAGATGAATGAGTCTCAGGTTTGATTCCAGCCAAGGGCATGTATCTCGGTTGTGGTTCATCCCCAGCCCTGGTTGGGGTCATTTGGGAGGCAACCAGTCAATGTGTCTCTCTCACACTGATGTTTCTTTCTCTCTCTCCCTTTCTCTCCCTCTCTCTCTATCTGAAGATAAATAAAAAAATATCCTTGGGTGAAGATTTAAAAAACAACAACAATAAAAAACAAAACAAACAAAAAAAGAACACCCAAAACTGAGGACAGAAAACACAAATCTACTTTGCCCTAAAACAATTTTATATAAAAGCTGAAATTTATAAAATAGTTAAAAGGAGCATAAAAAGAACGGCCTCCTTCATAAGGCATTCAGCTTAAAGGATAGTCACATTTAAAATATGACTGTTAATTTTAAATCCGTGTTTATTCTTCAGACTACTTCCATTTTGTTTATTTAGAGTACTGGTATAAATCACTGTAGTCACTGTTATTTCACTCTTATATCCAGTAAATAAGTGACTGGCATTCTAGTGAGGGATGGAGGATGGAGATGTGGATGCTCAATAACAGTTTATAGGCTTGTTTAAATGAACTATGCACAGACAGGTTTATTTTTTAAATGCCTTCAAGACACTAAGAAATATGTCTACTAGTCTACACTCTACACAATCAAGACCAGCGTCTAAATATGTGATTGTGTGTTCAGCAGATTTTTCCAAGTTAAAGATAAATGAAAGATGTTAATTTTCATTTGTGAATTTGGATCATCGAAATGTAACATGCTCTGGAATGTTGATGGGGTTAAACTAGATCTGAACCAGCTCCTACATGGCTCTGTCCTTTAGGCAAACAAGACAAAAGAGCCAAAATTCATTGTGGGGAAGTAGTAGAGACTATGAAGTTCAGATACCTAGAAAAGCAGAAGGTGACACAGTGCCATTGCTTCTTGAAACCATGACACTGATTCCCGTCTCCACAAAGGGTACTGAGAAGTCCACCACTTCAGAACGTTCCTCATTGATGGTGAGTGAGCCGACCGCCATGACTGCCCGCTGGTTGACCACCTGGAAGCAAGTAGAAAAAGCACAATCCCTTTATTTATCTGCTCCGCCACCCCGAGGACCTCAGGCCCTAAGTCTGAATGAGAGCCCGTGGGATGAAAAGGTATCTTACTTCACCAATCATTCCATTCCACACATTGTTGACTTTTTTGCCATGCTTCCCATTCGTCACCAGGTAAAGGTCATAGGTAAACTTCACAGTTCTGGACAACTTCTTTAGGATATCAATGCAGAAGCCCTTGCAGCATTTTTTAACATTCTTCCCCTCATTGGTTGAATTACTGTAGAAAAAAATTCCAAGACCACAGACAATTAGTACTGGAAAATTTGTTCACAATCATTTGCTATGCTCTTCTGCTATTGTTCACCTGGGAAATTGCGGCTCAGAATGAGAAAGCCGCTCTTCCAAGGACATGCAGTGAGTTTATGACAGCAAAAGTGGAAAGTGCTCTTAATTATGAGATAATCATGACAACGGCTAACATTTATTGAGTAATTACTATTGGCTATGCACTGTGCTAAATGCTTTGTACTAATTATTGGATTAATCTCCATGACATTTCTCTTAATTAGGTCGTATTTGTATCCCCATTATACAGTAAGAATTACTGCCTCTTATTTTTAAAAGTTTATCACACATACAACCACTTTCAACCAGAGTATAGTCATCTGATCTAAACTGTATTATAAAAACTTACTGGAAAATGGAAGAGGATGTCAAATTCGCAGGTGAGGGGAATTTTGCTGTATCCTATCATTGCAGATAGAGGTTTGCAACCAGAGGGACAAAGTCAGGGTGACTGGCTCAGGAAAAAAGGCACTTTCCTTACTAAGAAAAAACAACTCAGCTAGGAATCAGGAGACTGGAGGTTTACCTCCTGTCTGAGTCCATAGATTTTATGCTCATGATTGAGTTATCAGTCAAATGAGGGCTCTTTCATTCATAATATTTTTTCTCCCTACCTATGTGGTAAGAAGTGTAAAAGGTGACACCATTAAATAGCAAATGTCCTTGATCATAGAAAAAGTCCTGTGAAAACAGAGTATTTTAAAAGCTGTCTTAAAAGCTATCATAATCTACCAAGGTTACATTCAATGTTTTGTGCCAGCCACTTCACTTTATTTACCAGACCAAGTCATATTCAAAGGACACGCACAAAAATCAGAAATACCTTTAAAGAAGAAGGAAGCAGGGGCCTTGAAAATTGATACTCAAACTTAGACAACTCATGCAGGAAGATTGCGACCTCTCTGGGCAACACACTTGATTCTGCCTTGCAACTGGGGATTCTATTAGCTCAGCTCTCTGCCTTTGAGTCATGCATATCATGAGATATGTGCTCTGCTTGAATATTCCATTGTTGGCACCTCTGCACATTGAACTAAGCACTGAAATGTTGTTTACCGAAATCCTACATCATAATAAGAAAATACCTACGTTTCCAAATCAAATGAACAAGTAGGTTACATAGTAATACATATAGAATGATCATAGCTATATAAAAAAAGATGAGCTTAGAAAACATCTGAATGGAAAAACAATGAAGTATGAGGCATAGCTATTTTTGAATGGTGAGAAATGTCTGTTTTTCCTTTTCATATTTTTAATACCCCCCCCAATCTGTAGAGTACATACTACATATATAATTGGATACACACAAACATCAAGCACAATTGATGTAGATTTATATCTAGACCCATGAATATAAATAGATTTGATAATATAACTTTGAGTAATAAAAGTGGGTTGCAAAATGAAATATTTATTTCAATGTTTTCCTTATCTCAGGATCACAGACCATCTATTCTGAATCGCTGTCTTCACCATTGCTTCCTTCCTATCCTGTCCCTAATCTCCGCTCAACAAACTTGCTTCTGACAGCCAGGACCACCATGGAGACTTTATTTCTAGCCCAGAATCTGGAGAACCTCCTCTGACCCTGCCACCCTCAGCTTAGGGGTCATGAGAGGCCACATCTGTATACATTTACATAGGATCATTGGTGGACTCAACTCCACAGCGTAACAGGAAGCAAGTACCGTCCCTATCCCCTCCAATTTCCCAGAGCAGAAGGGGTCAGGCTGGAATTACAACTGCTATAAGTATATTAAATTAATGGCATGTCCAACTATGATTTCTTTCATGGTATCTGTGACTCTGAAAAATGTGTCACAGTCAAATTCTCTTTCTTCTCAGCCTCTATAGGCTGTGCATCGATGCCGCTTCTCCACGTCTTCCCATTTGTGTCTCCCCCACTCTCTGCTGCTTGGCTTCTTTTAAAATAGTTTTTTCCTTCCCCTAGTCAAGATTCCTGGAAGAGTTTGAACAAGAGTGACAAATGCCCAGGTTACAGGCATATAATGACCTATATGATTCTTTGGCTTCACTGGGCACCTCAATTAGTATATTAGTTAATTATCCTCCCATGTCCCGCGATACTAAGTTATTTCTAGATACCAAGTTATTAATGCATCTTCACTCAACAAATACCCACTCAGTACCAACTCAGTGCAAGATGGAGAGAACTAGGTCCTGGGGACACAGGATGAAGAAGACATGTAGCAAATGCAATAGTTGAATTTACCATGGGAGTTATGGAAACACAACCAACTTGGAATGGGGAACATGGAGTTGGTTCCTATCATAGACTCTGTGTGTGAGTGTGTGTGTGTGTGTGTGTGGGGGGGTGACTTAACTAAAAAGATGTCTGAGAAACGGTGCCCATGTACTCTCACTTAGCTCTCTCCCATCGCCCAAAATAAAGGGTGACTCATACAAACAAATATAGAAAAGAGGATCCAAGAAATTCAATTCTTTGGTCCTACAGTTTCCCAGTGTGGCCAGTGGATACAAGCATGGCCATGCCAGGGAGACAGCGCTGCTTTCAGAGCCTGGGTCTGCTGCTAACAACCACGAGCACTCAATTGAGTCTCCCTGTTCAACAGCCCCAGTTTGCTCATTTGTAAGTTGAGAAGGCTGATCCTTGCCTTGCAGGATAGTTGAGGAGGTAAAATGAAATATCGGAAGCACTTCTCACATAAGCACTTAAAATTATATGTCCTCTCTTCTCACCAACGATTTAACAGTTTGGGGGATTCATTGAGAGTATGGCCATTTCTCTCTACATAGAAGGCCAGATCATTTTTCTTTAACAAATTTCAAGTCTTAACATTCAAGTAGTAGGCTAGAAGAAAAGTTTGATTTCTCAGCTCATTCCCTGTTACATGTGGTTTTTAGAAGATTTACGTATGCCCTCAAGACCCCACCATTTACCAGAAGAGAGAGACAAAGGGTTTTCTCTGGGAGAACATCATCAAGAAAGCAAATACAATCATGTTATCTAATGGGAATCCTTTTTGGAAGCAATTGGCCTGCTTCAAAGACATTACCTTTAAGAAATTCAATTGATCCCTTTTGTGTTAATGTTGGGATTAGTGGATCCTAGTAATTTTCTTTGCTCTTGGGTAAAATAAAGACTAACACCACTTAGATACACAGTGAACTTCTTTATGTGCCCAAGTGGGAAAAGAAAATCTGCAAGCCATCACCTCTCACAGGAACAAAAAATGTGAATTTCAACGTGTTCATCTTATATTTATATTCTTCAAAGTCAATTCTTTCAAAGAGAGTAATTTATTTGGGGGTTCATTTTCTCTATACAAGTGTGACTCAGGACTTGGTGACCTATTGTTTTCAGTTCCAAGGCTTCTGATTTTAAAACTTTAAACCCTATTATTAATTGTGAAGTATAAGAGGTCCTACTTATCGGCCATATTGAAATAGAAAAGGCAGTGTTATCAAAAGGGAAGTGCCCCACTGAGCTTACATTCTTTGCTTCATGCCAGCCACTCCACTTTCTTCATCTGACTAAGTTCTGCTCAGAGAACACCCACCCAGTGTTTCCCCTGCTCATCACTTCCATCTGTTTCCCAAACTCGTCAATCTCTTTCCTGCCTCAGGGCCTTTGCACCTGCTGTTCCCTCTTCCTGGAAGGCACTTCCCCCAGTTCTTCCTGTGTTTGGCTCCTTCTCATCCTTTATTTGTCACCTTAATTCTTACCTATGTGAACTAAAGAAAGGAGCCCAGGTACCTTAAGATACCCTCTTATCACATCACCTGCTTTAGCATCCTTCACAAGGTTTATCATAACATCAACATCGAGCCACCCTGGTCCCTTATTGGGTGAGGTTTTTTTTTCCACCTGTGTAGGCTCCATGACTTCAAGATTTTTGTCTTTTGTCTTCCCTGTTCATTGATGTATCCCCTGTGCCCAGAACTTTGCCTTACTCATAAACTGTGCTTAATATGTATTTATTTATTGATCAATTCATTCAAAATTTCAACTCCAAAGAGGCTGACAAGTCCAAAAAGGCTGATCATTATTTGTTGAATAATCTACTCAGAATTCCAACTCTAAAGTGGCTGCATATTGATAACAAATTTTTCTCCAAACCAAAATGTGCCTTCAAAATATATTTAGCCATCATATTTTTAAAAAATTATTTTTATCCCAAGAGCTGAGCTCTGGGGATTTGCATCTTGTATAATAACCTAGGTTGGAATTTGGAATGTGCAAGGAAAGTATCATTTTACTCATCTGTTCAAGCATCATCAATATCAGTATGTCATGTTCTGTGCTTGTCACTGGGGGTACCAAGATTTATAAGTCATATTCCCTATATTTAGGCAGCTAAAAATCCAAGGGGAAATACAGACAAACTATAAGCCACAAAAATGGTGACAAAGAGAGAGATAGAGTGGTAGGGACCGGATGTTAGTGTCCAGTCAAATTCATATGTTGAAACCTAATTCCCAAATGTGATGGTATTGGGAGGAGGGGACCTTGAAGGTAATTTGGTCATGAAGGTGGGGCTCTCATAAATGGATTTAGTGTCTTTATAAGAAGAGACATGAGAGCGTGCTTCCTCTCGCTCTGCCACGTAGGAAAGGACACTAAGCAGAGGGCCCCCATCAGACACTAAATCTGCCAGCACCTTGGTCGTGGGTCTCCAGCCCCCAGACCTGTGAGAAATACATGACTGTTTTCAGGTCACATGGTCTATGACAATTTGTTATAGCAGCCTGAACTGACTAAGACACAGAGACATATTCAGAATACTGCGGAAGTAGGGAGAACCAGTCCAACTTGGGGATGGAGTAGTTAAGGCTTAAAGACAAGCAAGAATTAGCCAGGTGAAAGGGAGCAATCAGAAAATATTCAGAAAAAAAGGAGCTTTCCATCCAACAATAGGCCTTTTCCTTTGGTGAATCCCCTACAAGGGTGGTATTTTTGTTTGTGTTTGCATTAGCAAAGACTATAATCGGGGCCTTGGACTTGGCTATGAAGTCTTACACTTCTCCAAAAGGTTTATATGTTAGGGAGAAGCCTTCACCAGAGGCTCTGATAAAAACAATCAATTCTTTCTTTAATTGTAATAAAAGAGGCAATGACATAGATGCTTGCTTGCTTGCTTGCTATTGCCGAGCTAGGAAACTGCCAGGAACTCAGGCCTTGATCACATCAGAAAGTCGTTTGTAAGGTATATGTTGACCCCCAAATGGAGAAAAGTTTTGGAAAGTTTGGATCTAGGAAATATAGAAGAGATGGAAGGAAGGGGAAGGTGTGGGGTTGGGGGACGGGGTCGCCAGAAAAAGACAAATAAGTTAATTGTTTAAGGACAGAATGAAAGAGAGGGTTGATTCCGCATCATGGCTAAGAACAAGGACCAGCGTTTGAGTCCTGCCTCTTCCTTTGCTAGCTGAATGGCTTTAAACGTGTTTCTTAATTTTTTCATAACTTCGTTTTTGTCATGTCTAAAATGGCAAGACCACTTACCTTGTATTGCTGTTGTTGAAATTAAATAATGCAAACCACCTGGAGTAGTTCCCGTTTAAGTCTTTTAAAAACATCCATTATTATACCATACTTATTGCAACAGGGCATCCTTTATAATACACTGTATTATTTTATAGAGTTTGGTATTATTATCGATGATATGTGAAATTTTAAAGGAATGGGAACATTCTACTCCACAGCGTCCACAACTCACTTGATTTTGATGAATTTCCGACACGGTACAGTGTTCCTCACACACGACTCGGTCAGTGGGTCTATGTCTTCCACGATGACAAAGGGGGCCTCCTCTAGGGTGACAATGCTCAGATGGTTGTCGTCCGGCTCACAGTCTGAGAAGGACTTGTACCTTGGCCACACGGCATGCCTCAGGCTCAGGGTCTGGTTCTCCCACTTGCCCACCTGCATCATGAAGACAAAGACAGGCTATGCTTTCTTACACAATGGCCTTCCAGAAAGGCAACTATTTCCCCATAAGAGGAACAGGAGAAGAATACACCCATCTTAAGGTTTTTTCTGCTACCTGCATCAATACACATATCTGCTTACATACTAAGAAAAATGAAGACAGGGTGAGCAGAATATTGGGCATGGACTTGCCCCAGACTAATGAGATCATAGGGGTTTTGCCTAAGCAATAATGCCTTTAGAGCTCCCTAGGTGATTCCCAAGTCCTGCCAGAGTTCAGGATCACTGATGTCATGGAAACAGCATGGATTTTTAGAACCAGAGAGATCTGGCCTTGAATCCCCGACTCTCCCGCTTATTAGCTGTACAACCCTAGGCAAGCTCTTAACCACTATGAGCGTCTGTTTCTCATCTGTAAATAGGCACAATTCCACCTACTTTATAAGGATGTTGTGGAAATCATTATTTTTAAAGTTTTTATTTACTGATTTTTATTTACTTTTATTTATGAGAGAGAGAGAAAGAGAGAGAGAGAGAGTGAGAGAGAGAGAGAGAGAGAGAAACATAGATTTGTTGTTCCACTTATTTATGTGTTCACTGGTTCATTCTTGTATGTGCCCTGATCGAGGATTGAACCTGAAATCTTGGCGTATGGGGATGATGGTCTAACCAACTCAGCTACCTGACCAGGGCAGGATGTTGTGGGAATTAAATGTGACAATTTATGAAAAGCATGCAGCACAGTGCCTGGCACAGAGGAGGGCCACATGCTTTTCCTTTTAAGCACAGAAGAGAGACAATGAAAAGGAGAAAGATTATTTTTAAAGTGCTATAAAGCCCTGGCCGGTTTGGCTCAGCCATTAGAGCATCAGCCCGCGGACCAGAGAGTCCTGGGTGCAGTTCCCGCTAAGGGCGCGTACCTTGGTTATAGTTTGTCCCTGGCCCCAGCTGGGGCCATGTGGGTGGTGACCAGTAGATGTGTCTCTCTCACGTCGATGTTTCTCTCTCTTTTCCTTCCTCTCTCCCTCCCACTCTACCTGAAGATAAATGCAAACATGTCCTCACATGAGGATAAAAAATAAAAGTACTATAAAAATAAAAAGAGGAACAGGGAGAGGAGGAAGTGGAGGGCAGATTAGGGGGAGAGACAACACAAGGGGGACAGAGCAGGTGAGGAAACAGAAGCATCACTTCAAGCTCAGATATGGTTCTACTAAAGTTGCAAATGAGGCGAACTTTTCTCAATCCAGCAGAGTGGAGACTTCTGCTTAGTATACATCAAGACCTGTCAAAACAGAATCGATGTGTTCCCTCTGAGCAGCAGTTGGCATCTTAGTGAAATCAAATTAAAGTCTGTATGTTTTGAACCTTAATTTTATTTGACAGCTTGTTGGCACTGTTCACGTGCACATGGGAGAAAGCTGCCCCCAGCATTGCACTTTCTTCTCCCCTCCGTCTTTCCCCCTCCTTCTCCCACGTGTAATTGCTCGACACCACAGGTCAGCTCTTTATTTGTAATACCAGTCTCAAGGAAAACGCCTCGTCTAAAACACTAAGTGCCAAATCCAGGCTCGTCTGTGTTGACACGACCCACTCACCTCTTCACCTGGAAGGTTGGTGTCACCAGAAATGAATCTCAGGCCCTTAAAGAGAATTCAGACTCTGGGCACCAGGAGAGGTGAAGGGTGTGTGGAGAGAAGGCAGTCAGTGCTCTCTAAGATGACCTCATCATTTGAACTGGAAAATTTTTGCTTCTTGTAGAGAAATATCCTGTGTAGCCAATTTGAAAAAATTGTTCAGCTTCACTGATACCTTACTTTTTAAGATAGGAAGAGGAGAATAATTTGGTCAAACAAACAGGTTCATCTACCTGTCCTGTGATATGTAACACAAGCTGGAGAGAACGTTGACCCCTCAAATTCTTCATTCGTTCAACATGGATTTATTGAACATCAGCAATACCAGCTATGAGCTGGCACCAGCCTGGCAACGCTGATGGATACAAACAGAATGACTCCTGCCTTCTTGGAACTGTCAGTTGGCTGTGGGTCTAAGATCAAACCAATAATAAATATGCATAGATAAAGACATATCCAAGTTTTTCTTTTGGGACATATTATACCAGTTCCCCTCATGTTTTCCCCCCAGAGGCTGGGTAGTTCAGTGGGTAAAAGAATGGCTTTTGGAGTCAAACAGAGCTAAGTGTTAATCTTGGCTTCACTAATTAGCTGAGTGGCCTTAACCTCTCTGAGATTCACTTTCTCTATCTGTAAAATGAGGATAACAACAGGATACACCTTTCAGGACTATAGTGAGATTTGAATGAGCCAAAAATATACAAGAAGCATTGAGCTTAGAGCTTAGCATGTAGCATACATGGTAGCTGTTATTATTTTATTTTTGTTGTAGTAGGCATTTAAGATGTAGTTCAAGTATCACATAATCTTTAAAGGCATCCCTGTCTTCCCTAGTAATCTAGAACTTTGCACCTATCTCCACCATACCATTTGATGCTATAATTGTAACAATGTCATTTTTGAACACTTCTAAGGCAGGAAATATGCCAATATCACCGCTTAGTTTAATCCCTCAAAATCCTACATGGTAAAGATTATTATTCCAACTTCACAAGTCAGAACACTAAAGCACAGAGAGGTTATGTGACCTGCCCAAACACACACAGCTAGTGACTGGTGGAATCAGAGTTATAGCATGGGGCTGTCTGAATCCAAAGGTGTTTTCCTACTAGTGCTTCTATTAATTAATCTGCACTAATCATGTTATAGCTCCAAGACCCTTTCTTCCTTCAGAGACAATCCCCAAAGTCCCAAGAACACATAAATAGAGGCAAAGACTGTGTTGGTAGCTGATCTGTGGTGATGTCCTTGACCACATTACATACCCTACACAGTGGGAGGCAGGCAAAAGTTTCAGCCCAAGACTGACTCATGGAGAAAGAGGTTGCAAAGGTTTATGAGTTCCCAGAGTGCAATAATTCCCTAAATCTCCTCTCTCTCCCTTCCCAGCATGTCTAAGTAAACACCCATGGGTTGGCCAATGAGGGTGGAAGCGAGTGGGTGGGTAGAAAATCTTGATCAGGAGCTGAAGTTGCCATGTAAACAATACCCTAGATCCAAGAGCTCTTACCTACTTCTCTCGGTCTGACAGGCTCCTCTGATAGGCTCCTATTTCAAACACCAAATATCCCAACTGCAGGATTTTATATACCAGATGAGAAGAACAGACATCTTTCACTTTCCCCTCCTATATCTTTATTTCAAGGGACTATAAATGAGTCCAGTGTTTATAGACAGGTTTAACAGAAATTCATTCACTCCATGTTTACTGAGGGGCTACTAGGTGCCAAGAACTGTGTTAGACACTAAGGATAGTGTAGAGAAAACAACAAATTACTTGCATGGAATTTTTATGCTAACTGGGAAGACATACACGGGTGATTATTTGACAAAAGTATACATCGTGCAAACCAGGAGGAAGGAAAAAAAGTGGGTCTGCAAAAGGGAAGAAGGGAAAAGAGATCACAGAAGGCTTCCCAGAGGCAGTGACATGTAAACTCAGAATGCAAATCTAAGCTGAGTGGGTGGGAATAGGAGGGAGTGGAGGAAGAGAGAGTACTCCAAGAAGGCAGGGGCTAGAACAAAGCCTTGTAGGTCCTGTTAAGGAGGTGAAATTTACCCTAAGAGTTAATATAGTCTGTTAGCCAAAATGGGACATGATGTATGGGAGTCATCATGAACATATTTCTGTATATTACAAGCCCAAAAGTGAAGGTTTTTTGCTCCCTCAATTCATTTTTTTTTTTATTATGAAAACACTTTAACTCATACAAAAGTAGAATAGAATAAATCTTCATATTCCCATTATTTATTTCATTAATTACTAACTCATCGTCAGTCTTGTTTCACTTATACCCTGCCCACGTCTCCTGTGCTATATTGAAAAAAAACCCTAGCCATCATGTCATTTATTTCACAAATCCTTACTTTGATTTAAATATCTAATCTCCATTCACTTAATAATAGTATACCTCAACAATCTATGTGTTTGTTTGTTTCACTCATTAGATTATGATTCCTCAGTCTAGCAGATATCTTTAAAAATTATTTTAATATTTTTTCTTTACTGATTTTAGAGAGAGAGTAAGAGAGAGGGAGAGACCATCAATTGGCCATCTCCTGCCTGCCCCCTTCTGGGCATTGGCCCCACAAACTGGGCATCTGCTCTGACTAGGAATCAAACCAGCGACCTCTTGGTACATGGGTCGACACTCAACCACTGAGCCACACTGGCCAGGCTAGCAGAGATTTTCTATATATAGTGATTGATGTCTATGTCCCCCTAGCTTCCTGGGTAGTTATTGATGGAAATGAATGAACATATAGTCCGAATTTTTTAAAATGCCATGAGTCAGAAAATGCTAGCAGATTGATCAGTGTGTCCTTATGTGCTTCAGCTGTGGAATCTTGCACCTGAAGGAATGATCTTAGTTGAGTTCATGGGAATTTTCCCTGGGACTTTTACTGGGACTATTGAGATAGACATGGGCACAGAAGAACCAATCAGAGATCAAATGTGGAGCTAAGAATTAGAGAGAGGAGAGCAATCAAGTCATGCTGGCATTACTTAAGCTCTTAAAACAATAGAAGTTGACATTCACTGGGTCCTTATGTATTAGGCACCATCCTTAGCACTATTTTCTTATAAACATTTTATACACAAGAAAAAGGTGAGGGCAGATGATTTTTATCTCTATCATAAATTTTTTTGTACTTAAAAACAGTCCCAAATTCACCCAAATAGACTGTGTGAAAGAAGAAAAAAATCTTTACTGTCAAAACAAACTGTATTTTGGTGATAAACCTTTGAGTGTTTTCGGCCAGTATACTTAAGTTTTGAGGACAAAGAGAAATGACTGACCTCTGATGGAGGAAAGAAATATGCAAAGGAGAAATTAACTTTGTAATGATTTTTTA